GAAGAAAAAGGCTTGGGCAGCACAGCTGGAATAGGAGATGGCTGTGGTATTCAACAGAAAATTGGCCGTGGACTTAGGGAGTGTGACAGAGATGGTTGAAAGGTCTAAAATGGACAAATTAATCAAGAAGATGTACATGGGGGTGTGAAGGTCCTTGCTGGACAGCTATGACCACAGTGATGAGGAAGTTTCCCACCACGGCAGCCAGATAAATCCCCAGACATACCATGAAGAGGAATATCTGCAATTCTTGAGTATCAGAGAATCCCAGGAGAAGAAACTCTGTCACAGTGCTTTGGTTGGACATTTTCTTTCCGGCGTGTTGGTGCAAGCTGTGAAGGTAAAGTAAGGGGTTTTGACTGAGACTTGATGGTCTGCTCCATAGTTTCTCCATCCTCTGAATGTATGTATCCCACATGATAGACTAAACTATGACACAGAAACAAATCCACCAGTAATCATAGTTCCACATATAAAATACATGTCCATGCACATATATGTATATAATCTGCATATGTATGTACGTATATATGTATAATACATATGCCTGTAGTCTACATATTTTTATAGATGCATATTATGTATCATATAAATATTATATGCTTATATATATGTATACATGTTTATATAAATGCTCTCCATGTTTCTTATCATTATTTCAATATATATTTGTGGTTTGTATTCATTTTGGCAGCTCCAGACTGCCAAACAGAAATAATGCATATTTTATTGTTTTTATCCTTCTGAAGAGAATCCTTGGTATCGTTGGTGGATTTACCACCAAAACATCCTTAAAAAATACCCCAAGCAAGTACGAATATTTTCAGCAATTCCCCCACTACCTCCCATGATAGCTGCAGGGTCTTACCCAAACGGGAAAGAATGAAATAACTTGCTATCTTCAGGTTCACCCAAGACTAAGAATAGACCGTGGAAATGGAATACAAAAGCGGAAGTAAAAGCAACATTTTTATAATTGCTGGCATGGAGATTTCAATTCAGACAATAACTACTTGTCTTTTCTCTTTCTTCACTCTCCGAGAGCTGATGCACTATAGCAGCTACAGGTATGGGAGGGATCAGGAGGTCCTATCCGGTTTTCTTAGATCCTTCAGGGACACCAGGTCCAAAAATCTCTTGTGTCTGTCCTATGAGAGATACAAAAGTTTCCTGGAGTGTATTAATGAAAGAACAAAAGGATGGTCCTCAGCAGAGGGGGATCCTGAAGAGGTTAACAATCCTGCCTCAGAGTGCTGTGGCTTTTTCATCAGTGCCTTGTCAAGATTCACATCAGAGATTCCCCAAGCAAAACTGAGTATTTTTACTCCACACATGAGGAGTTTGGGCCAGGTTCTTCCTGCCACAGGAAAGGGGAGTGCAGCTAGAACGAAGAGGGAAACTGAGCTGGAGAAGCCTAGAGAACCGGCAGGGGACATTGGATGGGTAGGAGTTTGTACAGTGGCTTCCGCTTCTGAACTGAACTGCTGCCACCCACATGCTTCTAAGTCCTTCAGGGGCAGCAGCAGCAGCAAACCTGTGTTTCCAGGTTGTAGATGAAGAAGCCAATGGGAAAATGGGTGTTCTGTGACTCCTTATAGTTATTCCCCTGCTTCAGAAATTCACGCACAGGAGAAATGGCACTTGCTCACAAAACAAAGGAAATGTGATAAACCAGTCCTTTTTTGCAGCGTACTTAATTTGAGCCTTGTACATTAGCAATCCAAGTTGCATATTGAGAAGGTAAAATAAACTATCTTATCAAAAAATCCTATTAGTCACAACTGCTATTGTAACACTAGCACGTTCTGCGCATGCTGAGATCTCGCTTTTCTGGTTTAAAACCTGTGAGCGTGAGGGCGTGGTTGTGGTTGGTTGAACATCAGAAGCGCCGCACCAGGAAAAAGAACTCTGGGGCCCCCGCTGTGGCTCACAGCTGTGCGGCAGTCGCTTCTCCCCTCTGGGTCAAACCCGTACGAGTAAGAAATCTCAGGGCATTCTGGGAGAGCTGTAGGACTTGGTCATGGGTCGTACGTGCTGCAAATATACCAAATTAACTGCAAATTCCAGTAAGGTCAACTTAGCACTCAACTAATTAATGTAAGTTAAAGTATTGATTTCAGTGGTACCAGCGTATAGTCCTTCAGTCTGTGCCATTAAAATCACAGAATTAATCTGTGTGCAGTAGCTTTCTAAATCTTCACTCTTGAAATTTTTTACTCCTGTGCGTACAAAACAAATATTTTGCAATTGTCTTGTCTAAACCAATACATTTGTTTTTGCTGCAGATTAAGCATAGTTTTAAAAAATATATTTCTAGCTTTTTTTCTGTAATTTGCTTTATGCTTATGTTGACAGACTCTTAGGTCAAAGAATCTCCTGCTCTGTAAACATTTTTAAAATATTATATAAAACAGTATTTGTGATTGTAAATTTTGAGGAGTTCTGAGGCGGATTTGAATTATGTGATTTTCTTTTCTGTTTCTCTTTTTATTCTCTGTAGCACCACTGCCAAAGCATTGAATTTTTCTGATAAACAGTTCATGAGATTATCATAGTGTTTATGAAATACTAGCATCAAAATTTTATGTTCATAAAATCCCAAAACAGTATCTTTTCAGAAAAGATTTTTTTTTTAAACACAAGAGCTACAATAATATTATGATTCATGAGAGCAGAGCAAGTAAACGGTGATTACAGACAGGAGGAAAGACATAGCTGTCCTCCACTGGAATGAGAGCTGAAAATATTTTAGCCAAGGTACAGTAGCCAACTTATTCAGTTCACAGCTAAATTGCATTGTGTGAGTAGTGGGTCAAATCTGATTAGGCCGTCTGCATCAGTATTTGCATCAGATATTCTCAGGTTGTGGGAAGCCACCAGGGTGTTTTCACTACTGTACTCTCTTAAGCTGCACAGGCTGTTGTGGAGGGCTGGAGTGTGACTGGTCTGCATTAGGCCAACAAAACCCAGAGATCCTGTAACAGAACGGGAAGAGTTCAGACAGAAGTATTTGTACAAAAACTGATGTTTTTACATGTCCAAGACAGAGTCATTCCTTCCTTCTCAGCATCTGTTCTGATGTCACTTGCTTGTTTTGTTGGTTGGTTTTTGTGGTTTTTTTAATCTTTGTCTATGTAGCACACATATTTTCACCAGCCGCAGTTTTCCCTGAACAGAGATAGGGAAAAGGAATGTAATCCTTGGGTCATTATTTTTCAATGTTTATTAAACTACCTCAAGATCTTTAGGAAAATTAAATAAATACAAAAAGTTGTTCAGAATATAAATATATTTTATGTTTCTTTTATTTGTTAGCATTTTGTAAACTTCAAAATTAAATTCAAACATTTATATTAAAGCCTGGGTTATGTTTCCTTGTTAAGTTTTCATTCTTGAGCAATAAACAGAGGGCTTCCTCGGAAATCAATACAAGCACAAACTGAAAAATTGTTGCCTTGTGCTTAGTTTGTCCATATCTCGGTACATAAAGAAATACTTTCCACTTTTCAGAGTCAAATTAATCTTTCAATGCTACATTATTGCTATGCCAAACTACATATGAACCCTCCCTAGAATACTTCGTCTTACCCTTTCTGCAGTACATTGCTCTAGTGAGCTCTAAGTGAAGTCAACATTTCAGCTTTGATTATGTGCCGGCCATGGTGGTCCCACAGGTACTGGGCATCCTGTGCCCACTTTCCAAAAGACATTACATGCACCAGAAACTGTCTGGTTCAGTGGTCTCTAAAGCCAGACTGAGTGTCTCATGCTTTCATGAGCTGGAGCAGTTTCCACGTGCTGTGTGGGGCACGCAGATCACTATCGCTTGTTTTCTTACCATGCGACAAACTGCAAATCAACAGGATCAAGAGTCAGTAGGACTAAAAGTGATAGATCATTTGTGTGGATACCATGGTCTGGATCATGAGGGTTTCTATATGAAAAGGCTACATCCACAAATTCTGAGCAGTTACTGTCATAATTGTCTTTAGGGTGGTAAGACTTCTCTGAACTTGGTAGAGGGTGACCTGTTGGGTGGAAGGCCTGCATTCATCCTCTGATTTCTAAGCAAGCAATGAAACCCATGCAGTGACTGCAACAACAGTTTCCATTCAGTAGAGAACGGAAAGTACAATATGGGTAATTTTGTTCCATTGTCAAAATAGTAACTCTTTTTCAATATTACAATTTCTGATATTTTTGCTATTTATTTTGGATTTTCTTATCAATATGTTACCATCCATGTCTAGAGGAATCAATGAGGTATTAATGGTATATAGAAGTTAAAAAAATCAATTAAGCTATGGTTGACAGGTCATATGAAATTAAATTATCTGTGTTCATCGTACAGTCCTAATGATCACAGAAAGAAACCTAGTGGCAATGAATTTTTATATTGCTTGGCTTTAATATTTTATAAATTACTTCATATTTGGTAATATAAGTGACTAAATAGTTTGGGGTTGTTTTTTTTTTTCCAAATTTGACATTATTGCTTTAAATGATGCAGAATTAAATTGTTTTCAGAATCTGTCTAGCAACAACAGATGCGCTCTCTCCCTCTAGTGGAAGATGAGTTTGCTTTCCGTTTTTGCATGTGCAAATCATCAAATAATACTATCAGAGATTAAAAGTTTTTCTAAACAAGGATATATCATTGTTTGTGTTTATAACATAAATGTTACATGACTAGCAGTGTAATAAGAGATATTTTCATATGAATATTTTTTCTGCAAGTGCACTGTTTTCAAAGTGATCCTTAATGATATGAATTGTAAAATATTTATGTGTAAATATTTACAGATATCTAGACACATTTTAAAATAACAATAAAGGCCCAGCAGTTAAGATTAAAAATAACTCCTAATCTCAAAAGTGAAATACAGTATGCTTAATTTTAAACACAGGATCAGTTTGCATGTTAGTATTTGCCAGATTGATGCTCAGTTTAGAAAGCTTGTGCCTAAATGATAAACTTTTTATTTTAATCGTAATGTTTTCAGTATTTGTGGTGTTCATCTTAAGAAGGAGAATGCCACAATACTTGGATGCAATGTGTACCCATCTGTTTTTCAAAATTAGATGTTACAATCTACTGTTTTGTTTCAGCCTATTAATAAACAAATTTTTAAAGAACAGCATAAACATCTTCCAAGCACTTGGTATTCATTGTAAGTGCAAACTGCTTATGTAATGATTTACAGGACTAAGTCCATAATAAGGGTAGTAGAAAATACTTCATATGTATTACTAATTAAACAAGATGTGACTGTAATTACTATACTTCTACTTTCCAAAATATAACAA